CCTAAGAATTTCAAGAACCATCCTTGGTTCATTTCTCCCCCTAGAATTTCTTCCTGAAAAAAGGTTTGAAAACACTTCCACAAGCTCTCCATCGAACATCATGTTAAAGTGGTTTTGATGTGGGATCCTTGGTCTGTCATTAGCAATCATTAGTGGTGGTCTTTGATTTTCAACAGGGAANGAATTTCTTCCTGAAAAAAGGTTTGAAAACACTTCCACAAGCTCTCCATCGAACATCATGTTAAAGTGGTTTTGATGTGTGATCCTTGGTCTGTCATTAGCAATCATTAGTGGTGGTCTTTGATTTTCAACAGGGAATACCACAAGACCCTTCATCTACCACTTGATTTCTAGTCATAATGTTTGATTTCTAATTGAATAGTCCTAACAGTGGTGTTGGGATATTTAATGGTTCATGCATGGCACTAACAAATTCTTGCTTAATGCCAGAATTGAGATTGTGTAATTCCTATTTCAAGTTCTATACAAACTCTGCATTTGCATACTTTCTTGGCCATTGAACTAGCTATTCACTGAATTTCCAAACTCCATAGGATGGATACTCGAACTTGCTTCATGAGTGCCATCAATTGACATTATTTCCACAATTTCGTTGGTTCTAAACATAATTTCGTCTTACTTCCTCGTTCGCACCATCTTCCTCAATCTAAATTAGTAATGTTGTTCCACCGGGCGAGCCAAAAAGATTGTTGCTCCAAAATCTGTTGCGATCAACAAAATGCCTCAATCGACAAATAGTTTTCAGGCGATTGCTTGTGAATGAGTTCGACTGTTTTGTTTCAAGACTTCCTTAGATGAATTCTTAAAGCGATGAACACACAAAATAATGAATCAAAAAAAGCAGGTTTTTTAATTAATCCAATTGAATGAATTTCAGTTACTGAGAAACTGAATTAACAACCTTTGATTATAACACTAATTACTTCCTAAAATTAACTTTAACACTACTCCTAAATACCTTGATTGTGGGTCTTATGGGAGTTTTGAGTTGTTCTTCAACTTCCTTCTTTCTCTCCTCTTATAACCACTTCCTTCGACAGTTTTTCTTTTATGGATGGTTGACCGGCTTTGTAACACTTAAACAGTTATTCCTTCTTTTAAACCGAAGCTGTGGCTTGGCTGACCATTTCCCGCTTCTTCAGATTTTAACACGTGACAATCTTTTAATGACTTCGGGCTTGCCAACAACATATAGATAGAATGTTTTTATAATTTTATATTTTAAGTCGAAACACATTTGAAATACTACAATACATTAACCTAAAGCACAAGAATCACACGAATCTCTCTTCAAAACACATTACATCAAATACAACCAATCAACGCTACACTAATCATATCATCAATATTACAATTAGTCCCTCAAAATTCCTCATTCTACCGCTCAAATTTGCTCCGTCAAACCGATCCCCAAAATTACAACTAAAGAAATCTAAAGCTGATGCTCGATTGCATTCAAAATTTCACCGCATCAACCGTACTCATTAAATGAACATCACGAAAGCAAACCATAACCATTCCGCAACATAGATCCAACATATGCTATGTTCCATTGTTGTTCAAAGGAATCCAAACATTTCAGAACAGGAAAATAATTACGAAGATTTGTAGTAAATACCTCATGGAGGCTTAGGGTTTTCCCGCTATCAACTTCCGCCATAGCTGAAAAGTAAGCTTCTCCAGCTGCAAGAGCCGACCAGTGAGAGAGAAAATGAGCTTAGATTTACAGTGAGTTCAAAGACCATACAGAAGAATTAGACAGACGAAGGGTTGGTAGAGAGTGAGAGAGTCGGGCCTCCTACACTGGGCCGCGTTTTGTTTGCAGGTTTAAAAGCCCGTGAACCAATGAGGTGGCGACCTAACTGAACGTTATAAATGTGGGCGTGCAATGGACTAGATCAAGCAGTCAGGGATGTTCGATTTGATTAACTTGGTGTGTGTATGTGGTGACCAAATATTGGGGTGTAAAAAGTTATAGTTGAGAATGGTAACGTAATGTTTGAGTTCGAAATGGATATTTTAATGATTTCCAAATAAAATTCTATTTTTATAATTTTAATTATCAAAAAAAAGCAAAAATTTAGTCATTTGCTGATGAAACTATCTTGGATGAGTTTCTAGCCAACTGAATTACAAATCAGTCACAGAGTAGCTTGGTTTTATTATACAGTATAAAAGGCACAAAACTAGCTTATGGAATCAGGTTCAGTAGTAGAAAGGAGTTTTATAATATTTCTAGTTTAACTTTGTTTATCTCACGAGTTAATTTCAAGTAAGCCTTGAATGGAGGAAATCATAGGTTGAGTTCAAATAGCTTGATTCATTGTTACCACCATACATTTTTTATGTAGAACCTGTTGGAGTTATTGATGGTATAGAGCTAGCATCAATTGAACTCCATAAGAACTTTAGAGAGAGAGAGAGAGAGAGAATAACAACATCGGAGGCAAAAATAGAGTCATCAAAGTTTCACCTTATTAGCACTCCGTCAAGTTCTAGTCCATTATTACTGACGGGTAAAGAATCACCGTTTTTTTTTTTTAAATGNGAGCCGACCAGTGAGAGAGAAAATGATCTTAGATTTACAGTGAGTTCAAAGACCATACAGAAGAATTAGACAGACGAAGGGTTGGTAGAGAGGGAGAGAGTCGGGCCTCCTACACTGGGCCGCGTTTTGTTTGCAGGTTTAAAAGCCCGTGAACCAATGAGGTGGCGACCTAACTGAACGTTATAAATGTGGGCGTGCAATGGACTAGATCAAGCAGTCAGGGATGTTCGATTTGATTAACTTGGTGTGTGTATGTGGTGACCAAATATTGGGGTGTAAAAAGTTATAGTTGAGAATGGTAACGTAATGTTTGAGTTCGAAATGGATATTTTAATGATTTCCAAATAAAATTCTATTTTTATAATTTTAATTATCAAAAAAAAGCAAAAATTTAGTCATTTGCTGATGAAACTATCTTGGATGAGTTTCTAGCCAACTGAATTACAAATCAGTCACAGAGTAGCTTGGTTTTATTATACAGTATAAAAGGCACAAAACTAGCTTATGGAATCAGGTTCAGTAGTAGAAAGGAGTTTTATAATATTTCTAGTTTAACTTTGTTTATCTCACGAGTTAATTTCAAGTAAGCCTTGAATGGAGGAAATCATAGGTTGAGTTCAAATAGCTTGATTCATTGTTACCACCATACATTTTTTATGTAGAACCTGTTGGAGTTATTGATGGTATAGAGCTAGCATCAATTGAACTCCATAAGAACTTTAGAGAGAGAGAGAGAGAGAGAATAACAACATCGGAGGCAAAAATAGAGTCATCAAAGTTTCACCTTATTAGCACTCCGTCAAGTTCTAGTCCATTATTACTGACGGGTAAAGAATCACCGTTTTTTTTTTTTAAATGTGAAACGAAATTCTACAGCCGATGAAAAAATCATAAAAAGAAGCATGAGGGTGGACAATAAGTCCAACCAAAATGCCTAACAAAGAGAAAACAATAAAATGCAAAAACATAGAAGGATGAGAACCATTGTCATTCCCTGTTCTTATTAATCCAGTAAAAGAAGACAAGTGAAACAAAGAAACTTTGGAGTAGTTCTATCTATCCATCCATATGATGCAACGAAGGCTCTTTCCTTGGAGTAGTAAATCAAAAGCTTTGTTAATGTCCTGGAAACCAACTTCATGGGTTACAAAANTCTTAGATTTACAGTGAGTTCAAAGACCATACAGAAGAATTAGACAGACGAAGGGTTGGTAGAGAGGGAGAGAGTCGGGCCTCCTACACTGGGCCGCGTTTTGTTTGCAGGTTTAAAAGCCCGTNGTGAGTTCAAAGACCATACAGAAGAATTAGACAGACGAAGGGTTGGTAGAGAGTGAGAGAGTCGGGCCTCCTACACTGGGCCGCGTTTTGTTTGCAGGTTTAAAAGCCCGTGAACCAATGAGGTGGCGACCTAACTGAACGTTATAAATGTGGGCGTGCAATGGACTAGATCAAGCAGTTTGGTTTTGTAAATGCAGGCCAAGTTTGAAAGACTTCCTTTTATGAACTGTTTAATGTCTAAAAATAATTAAATATTATTTTGTCAAACTTTTTATCCAAAAAATAGTTAATTTTAATTTTATATTTAAAAAGTTCCAAACGCAAAATACTAAAGAAATTTTATTAGGAATTTAATTTCGTATTTTTTCTATTAATACAAAACTCGATTTGGGCTAGAATTCTTACAAACTTTTGACGAGTCAACTTGATTAAATATTTAAGGCTTTAGGCTTAATCAATCACAATTGAGCTAAACTTCAGCAGGGATGTTCGATTTGATTAACTTGGTGTGTGTATGTGGTGACCAAATATTGGGGTGTAAAAAGTTATAGTTGAGAATGGTAACGTAATGTTTGAGTTCGAAATGGATATTTTAATGATTTCCAAATAAAATTCTATTTTTATAATTTTAATTATCAAAAAAAAGCAAAAATTTAGTCATTTGCTGATGAAACTATCTTGGATGAGTTTCTAGCCAACTGAATTACAAATCAGTCACAGAGTAGCTTGGTTTTATTATACAGTATAAAAGGCACAAAACTAGCTTATGGAATCAGGTTCAGTAGTAGAAAGGAGTTTTATAATATTTCTAGTTTAACTTTGTTTATCTCACGAGTTAATTTCAAGTAAGCCTTGAATGGAGGAAATCATAGGTTGAGTTCAAATAGCTTGATTCATTGTTACCACCATACATTTTTTATGTAGAACCTGTTGGAGTTATTGATGGTATAGAGCTAGCATCAATTGAACTCCATAAGAACTTTAGAGAGAGAGAGAGAGAGAGAATAACAACATCGGAGGCAAAAATAGAGTCATCAAAGTTTCACCTTATTAGCACTCCGTCAAGTTCTAGTCCATTATTACTGACGGGTAAAGANATAACAACATCAGAGGCAAAAATAGAGTCATCAAAGTTTCACCTTATTAGCACTCTGTCAAGTTCTAGTCCATTATTACTGACGGGTAAAGAATCACCGTTTTTTTTTTTTAAATGCGAAACAAAATTCTACAGCCGATGAAAAAATTATAAAAAGAAGCACGAGGGTGGACAATAAGTCCAACCAAAATGCCTAACAAAGAGAAAACAATAAAATGCAAATACATAGAAGGATGAGAACCATTGTCATTCCCTGTTCTTATTAATCCAGTAAAAGAAGACAAGTGAAACAAAGAAACTTTGGAGTAGTTCTATCTATCCATCCATATGATGCAACGAAGGCTCTTTCCTTGGAGTAGTAAATCAAAAGCTTTGTTAATGTCCTGGAAACCAACTTCATGGGTTACAAAACCATCCAAAGTAAGCTCCTGCAAAATATAAATAAGACCCGATTATATTCAGATGAAAAATAAAAATAAGTTAAAAATGGACTAATAGTGATAATGATAGCAAATTTACTCTGTCTAGGTATTTTTTGGCTAGCATTGGAATGTCTGATTTGGCTTTCATTCCTCCAAACCTGGAACCTTCAACGCTTCTGCCCTCGGTAATCGTGTAGGGATGGATACTTATAGGCGAGCCGTGCATCTCAATACCAAGTATCACAGTCTTTCCCCAACCCTAACTTCAACAAACCAACAGTAGTTAATTAAATGCAAGAAAAATGCTGTACAAACTTGTCTAATGATTAATAAGTTCAATCACTTGGTTCCTTTTAATTTTGCTTCGTTGCAATATTTAAACTATTCCATAGGGTACATATAACGCTATTCAACATCCTGGTTAGAGCATTTCATGTAATTTGCGGTTTATTCTTCATCTTTCTTGGCAAAGATCAGTTCATCTTGCCAGTTTTAAGCAGACTTCATCAATTTGGATTTTTTTGCCCAAGAAACAGACGGGGAACTGAATATAAATGCTTGCAAACTCCACCTGAACTGCTCAATTCATTACAAAGTTCTAACTTATTCTAGGTGCAGCATGTACATGTACATGTACAAGTACAAGTTTATTACAAAGGCAATGTGATCATGGCATTGACAATTAACTACTTCCAGGTGTAATTGCATAGTTCTTGTGTTCATGGGATCATGGCAGTGATATCAGGGAGAGGGCGGGGGACAGACCTTTCGAGAACTATTGAAAGCATCTTGCATTACAGACGCCAATCCAACACACTCAAAGCAATAGTCAGCACCCCCGTCTGTCATTTCTTGTATAACCTGATAAACAAGGGCAATTAAGCAGAAGGATGGAAATAATGGAATTTATTTGTTAATACATTTCCCAGATTAAAACAATCAGACCAACCCGGCTCACTGACTTTTCCCCACAGGAAGTCGGATTAACAAAATCAGTGACCCCAAACTTCTTCCCTGCACATGTTAAAACTCTTTTAAGTTTACCAACTCTTTTTGTTTGGTTCTTATAAGTCTTACCAAAACTCAATCCTGTAATGAAGACATTCAAATCGATAAAATTGTTAGGACAAAGAAGATGAAGTCAATGATCACTCACCGATTTCAAATTTTTCTGGATTCAAATCCACACCTATGATTTTTGAAGCTCCACGTAGCCTTGCTCCCTCTGCAACCTGTTAAATTGGCTCACAGTCCATTTCATTTCCTTATGTAATTGCATACCATAGAAGTGTACAAATTGAGAATTACTATGCATGCAGAAGATTGGAATCTTACTATAGATAGGAAAGGGTGGGTTGAGTTGTGAATATTCCTTTATAACTCATCTTTTCCAATTCCATTTTTAAGGACTAAGTAGTCTCTCTCTCTCTCTCTCTATATATATATTTATGACCCTTTATCTCGGTTAGACTTTGAAAACCAGTGACGAGGTTTACATCATGTCCCTGGTTACAAGTTATGGGAGAGAGTGAAGACTTGAAAAGACACAAGGTGACAATAGAGTGTAGAAGGGAGAGAGTGAAAGTGCGGCATCAGAGGTGATTTAGGACAAGTGAATTGTTTTTACCGCGAGTCCAATAGCACCTAGTCCAAAGATGGCCACACTAGAGCCCTCTTCCACTTTTGCAACCTCCCATGCTGCACCAACTCCTGCATTCAGGAACAATACAATTGATAATTCCCCAAATCAGCTCCCCTCTAAAAGTGCAATGGTGAAGTAAACAAACAAACAGAGGGTCCTTCTTTTTTTATACCATAAACTAAGTGATCATTTAGGTGTGTACTAAAAAACTAACCACAAACAAGCTTGCTTCTTGAGCATAGCAGCATACTTCTTTTTAGTGCTTCCTAGTATGTTCATGCCATGATTAGCAAATCCATTTTCATGATTTACACCATTCAATGATGAGGATTGTCTTGTACCATTATTGACGTAAATTTCTATTGGGCATGGGGTTCCAGCCCAAAAGGCACATCTCGTAGGTAGAATGATCCGCTCCTTTATATGGCTCAGGATCCTTTCATCACCAACCGATATGGGATTTGTTTGACACCTCGACAATCCTTCTCTTGAACGAGGCTTACAATGGATGACCATCATTGTTCTTTCATCTGACACAAGGACCTAAGTCCACACGGTGGCTTGGGCCGATCGGCCTGTTACCATTTGTTGGGCATGGGATTCCAGCCTAAAAGGCGCACCTAATATACGGCCCAGGACCACCTCATCACTAACAGATGTGAGACTTGTTTAACACCTCAACAATTTTTACTAATCAAACCCCAATTTTTCAATGAAGCAGATTAGTTATAGCATGAAAATTAAGAAATTTGAATCAGTAGGAACAACTCTGGATATTCTGAAATAGTTAAAGGAGAAGCATATGGTCTTTGTTATGCATAATGTGGGAACTTGTAGAATCAATGAATGGCTTACCGGTTGTCACCCCACAACTAAGCAAGCAGGCTTTATCAATAGGAATCTCACAATTTAGTTTTGCAACATGTGTGATATCCACCACTGTGTACTGGGAAAAGCTAGACACTGAGAAGAAATGATGCACAACCTCTCCATTCAAGTCCTTGAACCTGCTGGTTCCATCCCTTGGCATACCACCATAAAACTCAGTGGGAAATTTTGAACAATTGTTGCTTTTATGAGACTTGCAATCTCTGCATTCTCCACAGTTCCTTTCAAATACTGGCACAACTAATTCTCCTTCTTCCACTTCCTCCACATGCTCTCCTACACTCTCAACAATACTAACACACCAAGCAAAAAACATAAAAAAAAAAAAAATCATAAAAAAGAAGTGTTTGACAAATGAAACACTCAAGGATTAAAATTTCGTTTCGGTGCATTGTTTCGGTTACCTAGGAAATAGAAACATTTTGATATGTTTCGAAAACGTTTGAAAAAAAAATAAAAAAAAATTAAGAATTATTTTTTAAAAATATTAGTTGAAATATACTAAAANTAAAATTTCGTTTCGGTGCATTGTTTCGGTTACCTAGGAAATAGAAACATTTTGATATGTTTCGAAAACGTTTGAAAACAAAATAAAAAAAAATTAAGAATTATTTTTTAAAAATATTAGTTGAAATATACTAAAATATTTTGAAAGAGTAATGCTATTCAAATCTAAAAANCACAGTCCATTTCATTTCCTTATGTAATTGCATACCATAGAAGTGTACAAATTGAGAATTACTATGCATGCAGAAGATTGGAATCTTACTATAGATAGGAAAGGGTGGGTTGAGTTGTGAATATTCCTTTATAACTCATATTTTCCAATTCCATTTTTAAGGACTAAGTAGTCTCTCTCTCTCTCTCTCTATATATATATTTATGACCCTTTATCTCGGGTAGACTTTGAAAACCAGTGACGAGGTTTACATCATGTCCCTGGTTACAAGTTATGGGNTACAGTACATTTCATTTCCTTATGTAATTGCATACCATAGAAGTGTACAAATTGAGAATTACTATGCATGCAGAAGATTGGGATCTTACTATAGATAGGAAAGGGTGGGTTGAGTTGTGAATATTCCTTTATAACTCATCTTTTCCAATTCCATTTTTAAGGACTAAGTAGTCTCTCTCTCTCTCTCTCTATATATATATTTATGACCCTTTATCTCGGTTAGACTTTGAAAACCAGTGACGAGGTTTACATCATGTCCCTGGTTACAAGTTATGGGAGAGAGTGAAGACTTGAAAAGACACAAGGTGACAATAGAGTGTAGAAGGGAGAGAGTGAAAGTGCGGCATCAGAGGTGATTTAGGACAAGTGAATTGTTTTTACCGCGAGTCCAATAGCACCTAGTCCAAAGATGGCCACAGTAGAGCCCTCTTCCACTTTTGCAACCTCCCATGCTGCACCAACTCCTGCATTCAGGAACAATACAATTGATAATTCCCCAAATCAGCTCCCCTCTAAAAGTGCAATGGTGAAGTAAACAAACAAACAGAGGGTCCTTCTTTTTTTATACCATAAACTAAGTGATCATTTAGGTGTGTACTAAAAAACTAACCACAAACAAGCTTGCTTCTTGAGCATAGCAGCATACTTCTTTTTAGTGCTTCCTAGTATGTTCATGCCATGATTAGCAAATCCATTTTCATGATTTACACCATTCAATGATGAGGATTGTCTTGTACCATTATTGACGTAAATTTCTATTGGGCATGGGGTTCCAGCCCAAAAGGCGCATCTCGTAGGTAGAATGATCCGCTCCTTTATATGGCTCAGGATCCTTTCATCACCAACCGATATGGGATTTGTTTGACACCTCGACAATCCTTCTCCTGAACGAGGCTTACAATGGATGACCATCATTGTTCTTTCATCTGACACAAGGACCTAAGTCCACACGGTGGCTTGGGCCGATCGGCCTGTTACCATTTGTTGGGCATGGGATTCCAGCCTAAAAGGCGCACCTAATATACGGCCCAGGACCACCTCATCACTAACAGATGTGAGACTTGTTTGACACCTCAACAATTTTTACTAATCAAACCCCAATTTTTCAATGAAGCAGATTAGTTATAGCATGAAAATTAAGAAATTTGAATCAGTAGGAACAACTCTGGATATTCTGAAATAGTTAAAGGAGAAGCATATGGTCTTTGTTATGCATAATGTGGGAACTTGTAGAATCAATGAATGGCTTACCGGTTGTCACCCCACAACTAAGCAAGCAGGCTTTATCAATAGGAATCTCACAATTTAGTTTTGCAACATGTGTGATATCCACCACTGTGTACTGGGAAAAGCTAGACACTGAGAAGAAATGATGCACAACCTCTCCATTCAAGTCCTTGAACCTGCTGGTTCCATCCCTTGGCATACCACCATAAAACTCAGTGGGAAATTTTGAACAATTGTTGCTTTTATGAGACTTGCAATCTCTGCATTCTCCACAGTTCCTTTCAAATACTGGCACAACTAATTCTCCTTCTTCCACTTCCTCCACATGCTCTCCTACACTCTCAACAATACTAACACACCAAGCAAAAAACATAAAAAAAAAAAAAATCATAAAAAAGAAGTGTTTGACAAATGAAACACTCAAGGATTAAAATTTCGTTTCGGTGCATTGTTTCGGTTACCTAGGAAATAGAAACATTTTGATATGTTTCGAAAACGTTTGAAAAAAAAATAAAAAAAAATTAAGAATTATTTTTTAAAAATATTAGTTGAAATATACTAAAATATTTTGAAAGAGTAATGCTATTCAAATCTAAAAATCTGATTTTATTTGTTGACCTTTCATTGAAATCATTGAATGAAGAACAAGTTCCAATGTTTGATGGGGCTCACAATCAATTTAAATGAGATTAGATTTTTAGGTTCAAATAACATTACTCATCTTACAATACCATGAAACATTCTAAAATAATTGCACAAATACATTGAAAGATTACAAAACACCTCAAAAAATAATGAAACACCTCGAAAGATTAAAATTTTGATTCCATCATTGATTTGTTTCGGTCTCCTCGAAAATGAAAACGTTTCAACCGTTTTGAAACAAAATTTTAATCCTTGGAAACAATCGCATAGTGCAAAATCATGGCCTTTCGAAACTTTACCCAACTGCTTCGTGCCCAAAAATCCTTGGAAAAAATGCAATCGGTGCCTAAGTAATGGCATGACAATGACAATGACAGTTAGAAGAACATAGTTGTTCACAAAAATTTATGTTGAATGTTGCATTGAGTTATAAGGGCTTACAAGTTCTAGTTTCCACATGGTAACATCACTGTGACAAAGGGATGTGCATAGGATTTTGATCCGAACCTCCCAAGCTTTAGGAGGGGCCACTTCAATATCCTCTATAACTAGTGCCTCTCCTGCTTTTCTGCATACTGCAGCTGTTGGATCACGAAACAGTTAGAAACCAAAAAAAAAAAATTATTCAAACTGATTAAAAAACCAAACAAGTTATATGAAAATGTTGAACAGAGTAAGCATTAAACCTTTGCATATTATGGGTTTTCCAGCAGTCTCTGATCGGCAATTGTTCTCCATATCAGAATTCTCTGCCTGATTTTCTTTCTGCCTTTCCTCTTATTTAGAGATGTAATGTCAACAAAGTTGTGTATTTTAACTAGTAGTAGTAGGTTGAAACCAGGTCAATCATGATAGCAGGTGGCACTGATAAATATTATATTTATATATATATATATATATATATATATATATAACAAAAGATATATGGATAAATAATATATATTTTAACACACATAATTAATTTTTTATCTATTTTTTTTTAATTTTAGAAGAATTAATTTTGATGAATTAAAAGGAAAAGTTATCAACTCAGTTCTCCATCCTTCATATTTTTTTTCGTTATCAAACATAATATATTATCTCTCTCTCAAATTTTCTGTCCTTCTCCGTCGTAGCAAATAAAACATAACAGTTAGCTCTTAGCTGGTCAGGTTTCAACTTAACGGCAGTTTCTGTAAGTATTCTATGAATTTTGAACAAAAATGTCAATGCATTTGTTGGCAATACAGGGTCATAAATTATAATCTAATGGGGCCCATACGTAAGAGATCATGTGCGTGATACATGTGAGACTGAAACCAATCGAATCATGCTACTTTTTTAAAGCTACAAAAAAAAAATTATGTTGTCGGCCACAGTTAGGAAATTGCCAATGTCATACCCAACTTGCCATATTGAGTTAATCTCAAATTACACTTTAAAAGATATCTCTCGAATCTTAAATTGTACATTCAAAATTTATAAATATTAATTTACACTTTCAAAGATATAAATTTATATAATTGTGCACCTAAAACTAACATCCACTCACTTTTTCGTCTAAAACTAAGTCACGGGAGTTAGAGGTGGGAGGGGCATGAGCTTANCAAAGATATAAATTTATATAATTGTGCACCTAAAACTAACATCCACCCACTTTTTCGTCTAAAACTAAGTCACGGGAGTTAGAGGTGGGAGGGGCATGAGCTTAAGTGTAAAATTCAATATGCTTGACGCCAAAATAAAAACTATCTTGCTTCCCTCCATGAGAGGTTCTGCTATGTTAGAAAAAAATAAGATTAATTGTAAATTGTACCCCAAAAAATCTTTCAAAATTTAATTTGTACACTTAAAGTTTAAAAATATTAATGTATACCTTCAAATTTTAAAAATATTAATTTACACCTTCAAAGACATAAATTTGTAAAACGAAAGAAAAGACATCTACTTTGTAACGAGATATTCATTCACCAAATTCCAATATTACACATAAATATGATCCAAAAGTTGATTTCCAACCATTAGTTAGAAATCATCCCAAAAACTTAAAACCAAACACTGTTTTTGTATCATCCATAGTCAAACATCCAACCAACCAAAAAATGCAACTACTGTTTAAAGAGAAATCTAAAAAAAAAAAAAAATTCATTTCAAAAGTGTAGTATTCTACTTTATTGTGTTGGTGGCCTCCATGATGTTGATGATGAAGTTGGTGTTGCATATGAAAATGGTGTTGGTGGCCTCCATTTCGTGTGTGATGGTGATGGTGTTGGTGGTCTCCATCTTCTGTGTTGTACTGATGGTATTGGTGGCCTAAAGTGTGAATGTGTTGTTGGTATACATGATGTTACAGGTACAAACGATGTTGTTGGTACAGATGTTGATGCTAATGCTGATGAAGCTGGTGTTGTTGAAGTTTTTTTCCTCCAAACCTGGAAATAATGAACATTAACTTAGTTCAACTATACATTCAACATTTACAACGAACTTAAAGAAAATTAGTGTTGCACTTACAGGCAACTTCACTCTTGCTCTTGGAATTGAGAATGTAGATGTGCTGACACCAGTTGATGGTGTAACTGGTGTTAGTGTAACTACTGGTGCATCTGGTGTAACTGTTTGCCTTTTACACTTTCTTTTGTTATGGCCACTTTGACCACAATTTGAACACATAATAGGCTTATACTTCCTCGTCAACTTGAAACCTTTTGGTTGTTCATCAATTTCTCTCCTCCTAACTTTCTTAGGCCTGCTAGGTCTCCTGCTTACAATTGGAGGAAGCAAAGGTGAATTCATTGTTCTATGCCACATTTCTTTTCCATTTATAGGATTAATAAGGTGGTTGTAACACATGATAAAAGTTTCCACCTTGCACCACTGAGCCACATAATCTTCTAGTTGTAGTCCCAAAAATCTAATAGCAGAGACTGCATGCTTACATGGGATTCCAGTTAAATCCCACTTCCTATAACTACATGTCCTCTTCTTCACATCAACAGTCCTTTGTTCACCACCCATTCCAACTAACTCAAATTGATCACCCCCATTCCAATATGGTATGAAACCAACAAATTCAACTTTAATTGCCTCCAATCTACCTTAAATATTAGGGCAGATAGATTCGTTATAGTTTTTTAGGGAATCCCTTGGATGATGCAACCTTTCCATTAACCACAATCTTATTTTTTCTAGCATTGTGATTATAGGTTTATCCCTAGCTTCAACAATGCAACCATTAAAATTCTCACATAAATTGTTAAGCAGTGTATCACACCAGGGAAAGGAACTAAAATGGGATCTAGACCAATTAATTGGTGGTTTCTCAGACAACCAATTGTATGCAGCTGCATCAACTTCTTTCAGTTCATAAGGGAAATTTGATCAAATCGACACATATCAGTACTATTCACTCTTCCATCAATATACACTTCATCACCACAACCATCAAAATTTCCACTGTGATGCATTCTAATCGTGAAATATCCGTAATCATCACCTGTATAAAAAAATTTAAAAAGCAAATAAAAAAAGCCTCCAAAGAGAAAAAAAAGGCAAGAAAAACCATAACCCCACATCCAATATAAAAATAGATCTACACAAGTTCCCATAACACTCACAGATAAACAAACAAAACAAGAATCATTTTCAAATCTAACTAATGCGTTCACACAATCAACGCAAAAAGTCAAAAGGCAAAATACAATATGTATTTTTAAACTAATGGCAAGAACCATTTGGACTAAACAAATGGGAAAAACTATTTGAGAAAGATTAAAAAAAACAAGAATCAAAGTCACACAAACAGAAAAACAAAAAATAATGATGTACAATGTCAATTTAACAAAAATAGAGACAGAGAAAGAAAAACCCTTACCATAATTTGGCGTATCTCTGGTGCACAAATCATTGTTGTATTCTCTAACTATGCAAGACATTTTGCAGGTCTTCAAGGTGAACAGCAGCGCATCTCCACTTCTATGATTTGACAATAATTTGGCCCATCTCTATTTTGTATCTTGAAACTGAGGTTTTCCTCAAGAAAAGCTCATCACATGAGGCTTTGATTTTACACTTAACCCATGCCCCTCTCACCTCTAACCCACGTGACTTAGTTTTAGACGGAAAAGTGAATGATCGTTAGTTTTAGGTGTACAATTATACAAATTTAGATTAATTATAAATTGTACCTTGAAAGATTGTTGAAATTTTAATTTATATTCTTAAAGATCAAAAATTTTAATTTACACCCTCAAAGATAAATATTTGTATCAATGTGCACCCCTAAAGATAAAAATTTTAATTTACACCTTCAAAGATAGAAATTTGTATCAATGTGCACCCTAAAACTAAATTGATGAATTATACTTAGATTCCCTCATACTTGTCACTTAATCATTTTGACCTCTTTACATTTAAAATATTACTCCTACATCTCATTACGTTTGTGCACGTATAACATGTAATCTCATTTCATTGATATTTGTTAATATAACCGTTAAAAAATATAATTTTATCCTAATAAAAAATTATATTGTCCAATGGTAAACTTGATTTTGAACTTTAAAGTATATCGAACCCACAAAATAAAGGGTAATATGAAATTAAATTTTTTATTAGGATAAAATCATATTTTTTAACAGTTATATTAACAGATATCAATGAAAAGGGATTACATGTTACACGTGCACAAACGTCATTAGATATGAGTAATATTTTAAATGTGAAGGGGTCCAAATGATTAAGTGACAAGCATGAGGGGATCTAGATATAATTTATCAATTTAGTTTTAGGTGCACATTGATACAAATTTCTATCTTTAAGGGTATAAATTGAGATTTTTATCCTTGGGGGTGCACATTGATACAAATTTCTATCTCTGAGGGTGTAAATTGAGATTTTTTATCTTTGAGGATATAAATTGAGATTCTCACTATCTTTCAGGGTGTAACTTACAATTAACCTTACAAATTTATATTTTTAAATTTTGAGAATATAATTTAAGATTCGAGACACCTTTGAAAGTATAATTTGAGATTAACTCTACCACATAAAATAAGAGAGAGAGAGAGAGAGAGAGAGGTTACAACATCAACAATCAAAAGGTTCCCAAATCAATGAATATTTCTAAAAAAATAAAGATTCAACTACTCTTAAAGGATCCAAATTCTGTTTTATGGGCCGCAATTTTTGGCCCACTAACCCTCACCTCCAACATCAAAACTGCAATGATGGATTGGATCTGTGAGAATTCAAAATTTTCTATCTCAATTTTAAGTCACTAGGTTAAAATACTGTAATCACATAACTAGACTAATGAGCATTATTAGTTAAAAAAAATGTGTTTTAGTGTACAAAGTATAAATGACTAAAACTATTATATATTGTACTTTTTATGCACATAACTAAAGTATAAATATGTAATTAAACATATTACAAGTACAATGCATGAAATATATGAGGTGTGTGTTTCGCATGTAATGGCTGGTACACATGTAAAAGCTTAAGGACAAGTGCACGTGGAAAGTTTTTCATGCATTCATAATCTACCGTACAAAGTTTTGGAACAAAAATCAACCCTCACACAATTTTTGAGAAATTGTAAAAGCTAGGGAGGTTGATTAGAAAAGCAATATATATACTAACAGTCACTTTGAGTAGAGTTTTGACCTGATATTTCATGTTTGGTTGTTGTGACAATTTTTGTGTACATTTTATAACTCGTATATATTGTATACAAGAAACGAGGGGGTGAGACACACTTGATGTGGAAGCCCTTTAAGTGGTCCTAG